ATTTCCAGGTGTAGAAGTATTATCTACTTTGGCAAATTCATCTTCAAAAATTCTGTGGTTGTGTTTTCCCTGGTTTCTTTTTCTGAGAATAACTGTTTCTCCCCTCCCTCCTTTATATTCTGGACATTGTATGACATTAAATATGGACATATCTTTTTATGCAAAATCAAAACACTGTTCCTACAGTCTGTAGCAGGAGGCAGATGACAATGTGTTGATCAGGATGTAACAGAGAGGTTAGTTAGGGTAAACTCGCAATCAGAAGTGATTTTATGATTAAAATATTTATGATATTTTAGTTGGAAATAAGCATCTCGTCTTTATTTGGAAAGAGGGGATTTAAAACGTGAGAAAAATATTAATGGTGGTTATCAAAGAAAGTAAAACTTTCCTTTACATGAGTATAAAGAGAAATAAATATATAATTGTGTATATGCTTATATGTATATTCCTACTTATTTTTATATAGATTGTTTGAAAGATTTTTTTTTACTTTTTTTTTTTTTTTTTTGGCCTGGGAGAGTACATGCTTTTCCTGGCTCACGTTCAGAAGTCAGAGGAAAGCATGTAGGGATTTCTTTCCTTCCTCTGTGTGAGTTTCCAGGACTGAATGCAGATCTGCATTCTCAGCAGCAAGTGCCTTTATCCCTTGAGCCCCTTATATTGATTCTTAAGGCAAGAGCAAGATGAAATGGGTTGAAAAATGAATGTTTAAAGTTTCCTGAAAGAGGAAAAAAAAAACCCAAAATGAAATAAAAATGGGGCTGGGGATTTAGCTCAGTGGTAGAGAGCTTGCCTAGAAGCTCAAGGCCCTGGGTCTGGTTCTCATCTGGGGGGTTGGGGGAGGGGGCAGATAACAAAAGTTATCTGAAAGAACAAAAGCTGAATCTCTCTCAAGTTTTAAGCAGTTTCAAACATCACTTCACAGAAAAAAACATTTTTTTGTAACAAATTTCAGAGTAGCCTTTGAAAAGACTCACTCGGATGATATTCATTCCCGTATATTCTCGTGTACAATTCCTTAGAATTTCTCTCCTGCTGTATCATTACAAAACAGACCTGAACAGACTTAGTTGGGGTGGAACCATTTTTCCCAACTGAAGTTCCCCTCTTCTGATGACTCATCCTTGTGTAAAGTTGAGCTAAAACTAGTCTGGACATAGACTTAGGTGTTTTAAATGCAAAGAAATAAAAATCTAAAAGCGACAGAAACTGAGATCTACAAAAATAGAACACCACTCTACAGTTTATAATTTCAGTGAATGGTGAATGTTCAAGCTCTTTGAGAAATCGCACTTTCTGTGGGATTTCCTGGCCTTCGGGGCATACAATGCTAGGGAAAAAGTGAGCCCAGGCCTTTTCTCCTTGCTCACTGGAGCTATCACTTCTCATCTATCCGACCTCTGAGTGCAGTTCTTTCGAAGTGGGGTACTCTCTCACGCCCAAGGTCTGTGCGATTAGCATATGAATGTGTAACGGGATTGTTTGAAGTCACAATTAAGGGAACAATACATAAAGGAGCTGAAGAGACCTACCAACACCTGGGAATCTTGCATTGAAAAGGCTTCCCTAATGTATGTAATTAGAAACCAAGGACAAAACGCTCATTGTGTGGTAATAAAGCCCTAGAAGGAAAGCCAAAACGTGGCTCATGTTTTGCTGTCGTTCTTTGTGGTGAATGTTTAAGCAAGGGTTTATCGGTACACTTACTTCAAAGGAACCCTGGTTAAGTACAGTTTTTGCATGGTATCATCTTGGAAAATCATCCAAAGGCTTCTATATGATAAAAATACCTAACAGCTAACAATGAAATATTTCAGATGCATAAACAATTAGAGAATGATTCCTGCAAGGTGGGTGCAGAGTTTGAGGAGAAACATCCTGCTGATTGCCTGGACAAACCACACACATCCAGTTAATCCTCTGTAAGGGATTTCTTTTCAGTTGTGCCCACAGACTGCTACATGGTTCTGCTTTGTTTTACTTCTCTCTAAGGTATACAAAGGATCCTGCTCAGGGAACAGCACCTTACCAAAGTCATGAAGAGCTTTTTTAATCCCGGGGCAGGATCAGTGATTGGGGGAGCATTGAGTGGGGGTATTAGTGCTTCCGTTTTTATCGATGACTGCATGTACAAATTAGTCCTCTGGTATTATCGCCTCATAGTGAAAAACAGAACACTTTCCCTTAAATTGTTAAAGTTCAAGTTGTATATGTTTCTTTATTCTCAGCATTTAAATCCATCTACATAACTAACATTTTAAGAGAACTGGATTTGAACAGTTAACAGTGAGCCTAATCTCACCGTCAAGCAGAGAAACAAATGCAGGCGTAACTGTTCACAGCACTGTTATTCCATAATATACCCCAAGGGGAAACTACTGGAGAGCCCATTGGATGATGAACGGGTAAATTAAATAGGGCATGTCTGCTCTCAAAACAGAGTTTTCAGGAGACAAATTAGGCTATTGCCGTAGAAGAGAAAAGCCAGAGCCAATCGGACCTCAGCTCCTGTGATGTTTTCTAAGGTTTTCTAAGGGCTGCCATGAGCTGGTGGGAAGGACCTGAATGACATCTGGGGAACACAGTAGTCACGTGTGCTTGCTAATAGATGTTATCCAAAAGAAAAATAAACTCAGGTTCTCGCCATGTGCAGCAAGTTCTCACTGAGCCTGTGAGACAAGGATACTGTTTCCCTTGATGCCTGTACTCCTCCGGCCTCGTGCCCAGTACTCGAGAAGCAAATTGCCGGATTGGCTGCTAAAGATTTCTCCATCTTAATGGAAGAGAAAGATTTTAGAGTTTCAGCATTTCTGCATTAAAATGGAAGTCTAAGAAAAAGGAAATGAGCACCAGGAAATAACTGATCAGCATTTAATCAACCCCAGGTGAAGTTGATCCTGACTTGGTAACCATAGAGTGCAATACTCTTTGTGAGTAAAAAGAAAATGGATGAAGTTTTGGTGAGTGCGGACCATGAAGGAGCCTTGAAAACATTATATAAAACGAAGGAGGTCGATCACAAAATTATTTATTGTACAATTGTGCTTATACAAAACATGAGCCATATTCAAATATATGAAGAGTAGGTAATAAGAATAAGAAATACTTTTCCCCATTAAGAAGAAAAAGATCATATGTACGTTTGTGTGAATATTCACAGGAGAATGGTGAGAACTTCATATTTGAATGAACATTGTTCCTCAAGGTCATTAGTAAACTGTCTACAGTCTTTTCTGGATAGAGAGTTCTGTCAGCTGCACTGGTTGGGTCCCAGACACAGCTTGCAAAGGTTTCCTGAACTCACCCTGAAGCTGAAATAGAGCAGGGACATTCCAGTAGTTAGGGAGTAAGGGTCTGTGGCACGGTATTAGCACCGTGAATCCTGATCCTTGAGTGTTACAATGGATCTAGGCGCATTTTGAATTACACAGAATGAAGTTGGGGACTTCCACACACCTTCTTCCTGTATGAATTGTCCCACATTCTCCCTAGAGCCTCTCTCCTTGGGCCACAAGGTATCTGCCACTTTCATAATGGTGGAAGCTTTCCACGTCTGACCTGCACCAGGAACTTTCATTCCTCCAGGGATGAATTCACTTACAATGAAGGGAGATGATGTGGTAGGTCCTTCAGTATATGTGTTGTTTCTATTGGCTGATGAATAAGGCTGCTTTGGCCAGTGACTTAGCAGAATATAGCCAGGCTGGAAGAGATAAAGGGAGAGAGTAGGTGGAGTCAGGGAGACTCCATGTAGCTGCCGAAACAGAAGGACGCACCAGAACCTTACTAGTAGGATACAATCTTGAGGTGATACAGATTAAAAGAAATGGGTTAATTTAAGATATAAGACTTAGTCATAAATATGCCTAAGCTATTGGCCAAACATTATTGTAATTAATGTAGTTTCTGTGTGATTATTCGAGTCTGGGTGCCAAGAAATGAACCAGCAGTCTCCTCCTACAATAACATTTTCCCCAGTCACAGTCATACATTAAAGATTTCAGTTTTGGGGTTGGAGAGATGGCTCAGAGGTTAAGAGCACTGACTGCTCTTCTGGAGGTCCTAAATTCAATTCCCAGCAACCACATGGTGGCTCTCAACCATCTGTAATGAGATCTGGCGCCCTCTTCTGGCCTGCAGGCATACGTGGAGGCTGAACATTGTGTACATAATAAATAAATAAATCTTTTTTTTTTAAAAAAAAAAGACATTTAAAAAAAAAAAGATTTCAGTTTTGCTCTGTCTGCCCTTCTTCTGCAGAGGCAGCTTCTGCCTCTGTCTCTCTTCTCTCCTCTCCTTTTTCTCCTTTCTCTCCTTTCTTCCCCCTCTGTAACCCACGAAATAAACTCTATACAACCCCCCCCAAAGATTTAAATTTCAAGATATCTAATTTCATTGTGTTTTAAAAGAAACACAAGTTTTGAACATAAGATAGCCACTGGGGGGGCTGAAGATATGGCTCAGTGGTTAAGAGCATTGCCTGCTCTTCCAAAGGTCCTGAGTTCAATTCCCAGCAACCACATGGTGACTCACAACCATCTGTAAAGAGGTCTGGCGCCCTCTTCTGGCCTTCAGGCATACACACAGAATATTGTATACATAATAAATAAATAAATATAAAAAAAAGATAGCCACTGGGCTCTTTTAAGTGTTTATAAATATGTGTTGGATCTATAAAACCACAAATATGTTTTCAAGCAACAGGATTTCAGATATTGAACAGAGACAAGCTGTCCTTTCTGACCATGCCCTTCTTTGTGATGATGCCTCTAAGTTGCAGAGAACTTTGCTCCATCTCTGCTTGAGCTCAGCATTTACTAACTACTCCAGAACAGGGACGTTGATGTTGATAATGGCAGAGATGTAATTGAGTGGAGATGTTGGGAGGGTGACATAGAAACAAATATTGAACTAACCACTCATGGTGTGAAGAATTTGGGCAACATAATTCTTAATGCTTTTCTGGAAGTTAATCACGTGATTTTCCTTGGTTCTAGATTGGGCTTATGGATACTACAGACAACAGAGAAAACTTGTTGAAGAGATTGGCTGGTCCTATACAGGTAAGCATATTAATGACACTGTGAGAATTAACAGAAATCCCCCCCCTTTTTTTTTGCTTTGTATCTGTTACTGTACGTAAAAAGGAATTCTTATAAAACCTAGTGCATTATTTTAGTTTCCCTGATTTTTAGTGGGCTTTTCATAAGTTTGGTAGTATAGCATATTGAATAGAGCTGGGCTTAGATCTCAGGACTGTACTTTTATTCCTTGGGACGATGCATAACCTCCCCTAGGGCAAACTGGGCATAAAGTGAGCTAATGAAGTGAGAAGCACTTGCTTAGACCTTTCTTTAAATGGAAACTTCCAGTAAGTACTAGTGGCCAGTGTTTTAATTGTGTTAGTGATTATTTTACACTCATTTGGCAAACTTTGATAATGTACATTTTTTTTGGAAGTGTCTTCCTTCTGAATGACTATGACTGAGTTCACTGGAATCAAACTCTAAAATTATTCTGTCTGATTATCATACTTGGCTTGAATCATCACAAATGTTTGAAGTAGGTTAGAAGGAATCCCAAGCAGAAGTCATGATCAAAGCCCTGGAGGGAAGAGAAGCTATAGTGTTGACTGGAAGAACATGAGCGAGAGCTGGATAGATCGCCCAGTTGGCAACCACTTGGGATATTGTTAGAAACGCTGCAGTCAGACACTGATTACACACGAGTGGGTTGGGGAGATGAACTCACAGTAGAAGGGACTGACTATGAGCCTGACCAGTCTGGGCTTGATTTTACAGAAAAGCCCAGCAAAGTCTATTTTTATGTAGAAGGACATGCATTTCTCTTTTTGTTCATTTATTGTTAATATACAAATATTGTTAATTTATTTTTAATATACAAAAGAACAGGTTTCATTATGATCTTTCCATGTGTTCATAAACATTGTTTGCTCATACTTGCCCAGGTACACCCTTCTTCAGTTCCTCTTTCACCCTCACTGGTTCACGTCCTCTACCTAAGTAGTCCCTGTTTTCCTTTGTCCTTTATTTTTGTTCCTACCTTAGAAATAGTACATATTCACTGTAGAGAATTTAGAGACTAGGTTCAGGTGCACAAAGAAAAATACAAATCATTCTTTATCTTGTTCAATTCTATCCACTAATAAACATATCGTGGGCCTTTCCTGGAAGCTTTTATTATCTTAGGTTTGGATGTTTTGTGTATTTCATCCATCTTAGTTTTTGGAGTATTTTTTATGCCTTTACACATTTCAGTGATGACTCCTGCTCATCGGGGTCCTTAATACCTGCCTGATGCTGCACTGATTAGAAGTTTGATTACTTAACTACTCTCCTTGTGTTCATATAGCTGTCTTACAAGTAATGTTGTGTGTAGGCAGATGTGTCTTTATCTTCATTTTGTCGTGTATTTACATGCAGTTTCTAACTAGGAGAAAGTAATTTTGAGCGTCCTGGAGCATTCTTCCTGACGTTTGTTCTGAAGAGGTCATAGTCCTTGTTAGTAGAAATAAGTGACTGCTCACTAAGTGCTGTTCAGGATTTGGCATTTTGAAGAACTTTCCTAATATTACAAGGTCCTTTTTATGACATTTCTTATTCTAAGTTGATTCTGCTTGATTGCTTTAAAATCTGAAATCAGGTTAAAAAAAATCAAAGTGAGTGTTGGGGCACACCCCTTCAATCCCAACACTCAGGAGACAAAGGCAGAGGCAAGCAGATCTCTGAGTTCGAGGCCAGCCTAGACTATATAGTGAGCCCCAGGATAGTCAGGGTTGTGTAGAAGAAACCATATCTCAAAAATAAAAAAGGCAAGAAAAAAGAGAAAAGAGGAAGGAAGGAAGGAAGGAAGAAAGGAAGGAAGGAAGGAAAGAAGGAGAAAAGAAAAGAAGCTAAGATGGAATAAGGAAAAAATTAAAAAACAGGAAAATCAACAAATTAAAATTGATCTCTCTGCCCTATGGGAAACTGGCAGATAGCGATCAAGTAGATCCCTCTAACATGATTAGAAAAGACCTGTCCTTAATGTTCTCACTTATAATAATGATCTAAAAACCTATGGGAAATAACTTTATATTTTATAAGCCTCATAAAACATATAAGAAAAAAATTATCCATAATCCTGCTCGTTACAAATTTGTTTGCTTTTCTTTCTTTCATTAGTTGGCTCTTCCATCACTGTATAGTGATTCACATTCATAAATATTCACTTGAACTTCTTCAAATTGGACTTTGATAAAAATAATTGTTTGATCAAAGGGCCTTTATGATTTATTATATTATATTTTTATATTCATCACATTAGAGATATTGCCAAACTATGTAAAAAATGTTGTCTTATTTCATTTTATTCCTACATTTTCACTAATACTAATGTTAAAGTTACAATGAAATTTTTAGAAAAAAGATTTTATATTTATTTTCCAAGTTATTTGATTTGTGCAGAAATTTACACAACAAAAGTTAGATAATGTTGTGGGATATATGATAATGTGAGGTGATAGTCAATTAGTAATGAATAACACCAAGACTTAAAATCAAAAGTAAAAGACCCTTAGGATAGATCTATGTAATTTTCTTGTGTTTTTATGCATTTTCATGTGTTACTCATCTAAATGAATTTGGGTTTGCATTTGAGTTTAGGATGGGGGCAAGCTTTTCTGTACCACATACATAGCTCATACAATGTAAAAATTTTAAAGTAAGCTGGTAAAAGATAAAGGTATCTCATATCTTTAAATTGTATTGCAAGTAATAACTTGAAGTATTTTAACTTAATTTGACTTTACTAATATAATATTGAGGTTAAAATAATATAAATAATAAAAGAATTATCACAATCAAAAATTTTAAATTATGGAAAATAATTGCCAACCTGCTTATCGATTTCTGAAATGTTAGAGATCTTAAGTGTTCAAAAGTAACTTCTGATTATATGGTCTGAATATTTTGATTCTATTAATGGGTTATCTAGGAAATTTTCCAAAATTGCATTCTTTTATTGTGACCAACACGATATAATTTCCTGATTTCTACTACTATCATATTATCTGTTTAAAGATGAATATTGTTAGAAGCTGATTTTAATTTTAGATAGGTGGTATATTTGTATCACTATAAAATATTTTTCATGTGTGATTAATGCTAGTTATTGAGTTATAAGTTTATTAATGAATATAACAAAGTACTGTTTTCTCAAAATTTTAATAATTTTTTTTTACTTTATAACTTTATGTCTGACGACTGTAATCATTTTGGATTTATTTTCATCCAAAAGACAAATCTTGTGTTTTATACAGAATTGCAACTACTTATATCTTAATGCCAGAGAAATCATTCACCATGGCAAAATCATGACATCTCAATGAACTGTTCTGCACAATGTCTGCTGACATCAGATGCTGGAAAATGTCGAGGCAAACTTTCTTCCCAGTGCTTCTTAAATCTGTCTCTGAGTAGGTTAAAAGTGTTGCCTCTGAGATGAACTTTTCTCCAAGGAATTTTCATGAGGTTTAATAGTTCTACATTCTTTCACTTTTATAGTTGTATTTTTCTTTTCATTTTCTAATCAACTTACAAATCATCTTCCAAAAATTTACCACTTAACTGTTTTAAAAAATTATAAACAAATACTAATATATTGTAGAAGACCCTGCAACATGGAATTATACCGAGTAACACTCAACCTGGTTTAGTCTGCTTAACAGCAAACTTCGTAGTTTCAGAGTTCACAAGAATGGGTCCTTTTGCTCCAATGAATCTTTAAGCGAAGAAGCCAGGTGATTACCAGGACTCTTAGCCTGCAGTGCTTTTATACACCCTCCCTTATCCAAAATGTAGAACTGGAAAATGGAGGCTCTCAAGTTTGGGGAGAGTTATCATTCTCAATGCTCCAAGAAACGGCAGCAGATATGTATGGACGGATGGGAAGACTGTTTAGGTGTTGCCCAGCTTCCCCAGGTCCCAGAAAAGCTGGGTGTACCTGGTGAGCTAAGAAGAAAGCCGTTCTACCATGAGTTTCAGTAGATAAACTGGTAGCAATGCAGTGCCACCGTGCAATATACGATTATCTTGGGAGCTAGCCATAGAACTACTCCCTTGAATGTCTTAATTGAGCAAGGCATGGCTCATTGGTCAAATGACCAGGCTTGGAGTGAATCAGTTTGTGCATACATAATGAGCAGCTCTATCCTCTATAATCGGGTTTTATGACCCTGCCCATAACCAAAAGCCTGTTGGATTTACCTCCCATCAGAAGCAGTCTCATGATCAAAAGTGCAAACTTGTTAAAATGTGGCATTTCGGCATTGCTGTGGAAGGGTAACACGTTTCCAAAGGGATATTCGACAGTCGGGTGACGGTGGAAGATGAATTGTGTTGTTTATATTAATGCCTTCTATTGGTTTGGGAAATTATTTCTGGAATGGTTTAAAAGTCTAAGGAAATTTTATAATTGTTTACAGTTCCTACAGAGTCTGACTTTATTCTTTTTGTAGCTGCAATATCAAATAAAATAGCTAAGTATTTTGTCCAAATGAATGTATCTCTCCCAAGAAAATCCTTATTCACCATAGCATTTACCTCATTTTAAAATTTGAACATTTAAGGCTGACTAGTGCTTCCAATGCTTTGCTTACTATTCTTCCTCAAAAACAAAAATTATAGTTACATATAAAATTTAAAATTAAGTTCATGGTGTGATTCTTAAATGTAACTAATTTTGTAGAGAGCAGAAATGATTCCATTTACACGCTTAGTCTATATTTTGTGTTGTGGTGTTTGAATTTGTTGAAGTAGCTGAACTCTTAGAAGATTTCTGAAAGTGTTTGCCCATAGGCTATTCTGCTAATAAAAACTGCAAGCTTGACATTTTTCAGGGAGGGTGCTGTCAAGCCACCAGAAGTCATTTTCGACATGGGACACACCAACATGATTCCAGTGGAATCACTTAAGCTGAGATTGTTTATATGCTTGAAGTAGATGAAGTAACAGTACAAATCCCTGCTAGCTACCAGATGGGTGGAGAAGCAGAGAGCAGGCAA